GGGCAGCACATGTGTTGAAGGTTAAAAAGGGAGAATAGGTCATCCCCCATCCCCCACCTTTTCATAAAACTAAACCTGCAGATTTCTTGGTATAGGACAGAGGTGTCGAACACATGCACACCCCACGTGCTGCCGAACCAGATTAAAATGTAATTGGGAAATAATTAATGGAATAGATAAAAAACAATGAAACATAAATAATATCACATTTTAAAACTAAGTCAATATGTAGCCCATAAGGATCCTTATATATATATAGTAATGGTTCCCCCTTTCTATTTGCATTTGACACCACTGGTGTGAGGAGCTTCCAGTGATGAACTCCATCTACCATTGTGGTAGGTGGTTCAGTCTGAAGTCAGGAAGACCTGAGTTCAAATCTAGCCTCAGACACTTATTTGTTGTGTGTGACCCTAGGCAAGTCACTTAACCTCTGTTTACCTTAGTTTCCTTATCTGTAAAATAGAGATAATAATAGCACCTACCTTCAGGGTTGTTCTGAGGATCAGATGAGATAATAATTGTAAAGTGATGAGCATAAAGTAAGTGCTATATAAATGTTAGTTATTATTATTATTATTCCCAATAGATGTCAGCACCTCCCAGCAACTTGTAGTCTCAGCAATCGGCCAGAAACACTGAGAGGTTAAATAATTTAGCCAGGATCACACTGTCACTTTGATAGTAGTGGGAGTGAGAACCAGCTCTTTCCTAATGTAAGGTCGACTCTTTTTGTACGTGTGTGTGTGGCAATTAGGGTTGAGTTGAATTTGAACTCAGGTCTTCCTGACTCCAGGGTCAGTATTCTATCCACTGTGCCACCTAGCTGCCCCTATAAGGCCAACTCTTTATCCACTATAACACAATGTCTTTCTCCTCATTAATTGCTTTTGTTTTTAAAACCATCTTTTTGGCTGATCTATTATTTTAATTTCACTTTAAGGTTGACATGTTTCGAGAATTTAAAATCATACTGATTTTTTGTTACCTTGGTTTCTGCTTCTGAAAAATTAAGGCCCATCAAGTCTAGCCCTCAATGTGAACAGAGAATAATAACTAATGTCTCCTCTTGACTTTTGAAAAATGCATGATAGAAAGCAAAATGTATGGAAGCAGCTTGACCATTTCCTGGACAGGTTTGCCCATATCCATCTTCTGCTAATCCATTTCCAGTATTTCTCACCTTCTCCTGCAGCTCCAGGGGCCACAAAGACTCATTTCAAATCAGTGGTATTTAAAAGCCCACGGCAGCTAAAACCTTCTTAATGTGCGCTTCTCACATGGTCTGCAGAGAACACTGTAACTTGTTAATACCCCAATCCCTGCCCACCCCACCCCCATCTTTTTTTTTTTTGAGTGTAACTGACTTGGACTTTAAATCAGTGCCATTCCCTCCACTGTGAACCGTCCAAGAAAACCATTTCAAAGTTGTAAAAAATTCTCTGTTCCACATCACGCTTCCTGCTGTAGGCTTAAGGCCTGAGGATGATGGAGCGTATTTGTAACAGGACAGTACAGTGTGCTGAACAGGTGGTCCCCTCTGGGACTAGGTAAAACACCAGCCCATGGTGAGCAGGACAATACTCACAAAGAGAGGAGACTAGATAAATATCTCTGTAAAACACAAATCTCTCTACAGCTGGAGTCAAGTTTCTCTATTCCGTGTCCCATGACTTATTGTTCCTAACCTCGCAGAATTCAGCATAGCTTCCTTTTCATGGGAATATGTGAGAAATAGAGAGAAAGCCTCTACCCCAGGCAGGGAGGGAGTGGCTATTTCATTTAAGATGCTGTGAGCAGGGCTGTGAAAGTGACAAAGTGAGACAGACCCCTTTCTGAGGCCCTTTCCCTTCTATCTCAGGTGCAAAGTGACTTCTCCCCTAGTCCCCTACTCCAAGTAAAAATCTGCTCTCAGGAAATGACACGGTATCAATCATTTCCTTCTTAGTGTAAATTTCAATCAATTTCAATCAATGTGTGATCTCCCTGAGGGTCATGTACATTTTAAACCCTTTCAGATGTGATGGAAATAATTATTCTGAAATGATAAATAGAATCCAGCAAAAATGGGAGATTTAAAAAAATGGAGGTAGGGCTTTTCAGGGGTCTCTGAAATACACCATAATGGTGCTGGTGAAGACCTTGATCTATAGTTGAAGTCTGCCCCATCTGGAAGTTATTGCTTGGAAAGCTGTATGGGGAATCTTTTCGATTAAAAAGTATATGCTAGTTTTGTGTTAGGTTGATGTGGTGAAAAGAGCACTGGTCTGATAATCAGGAGCCCTACATTTTTATTCCACCCCTTCGAGGAATGAGCTATATTACCTTGGAGAAGTCACTTGACCTTTTTGACCTCTAGTTTCCTTTACTCTAAAATGAAAGGGTTAATCTGATTGACCTCTAATATCTCTAGTCCAATGCTGAAACTCTACATCTGACATTATAATAACAAAAACCATAAACAAAAGCTAAATGTGTGCTTTATTCTGGGCCAACAGTGAGTCAACTAACATTTAGTAAGTGCCTACAATGTGCTAGGCACTGCGCTAAGCTGGGCTACAAAGAAAGGCAAAAGATGGTCCCTCCCCTCAAGTAGCTTACACAGTCCTGTTGGGGAGAACTTTCCAGATCATTAGATATATTTTAAATTGTTGTTTGCCAAGGATTCTCTTAGAATCTTTACTTTTTGGAGTACTTTTGGGTATTTGACTTCGAATTTGATCTAATACCCTGATTTTTTGGTTCCTCAAGACTTTTATTTAACAATTTTTTCTCTGCCCATTTCCTTCATTACATTTGATTGTTCTATTTTATTTTTCATTTGCCCCTGCTCTCTCCCCTCTCCTGTAGGAATTCCAATTCTGGGAATCCCAGCATAAGTTAAGGTTGACTGCCCAGAGGGTTCCAAGATTCCCCTTTGGGAAATATAGGTCTTGGCAACTCTGGGAAAGTCCAAACCCTGCCCTGAAGGTCAGCAGTCTTGGGCAAGGGAATTTGCTTTATGTGAAAGGCATTTAAAGCTCTTCTCAGCTTTCTATCCTTACACTTCACTCTCCTCCACACACTCTATAACACATCTATGCTGGATAACTTGCCAGTTGAAGGAGTTTCCTCATCTGGGGGTTCCCTATACCAATGAAATCAAAGGTCTAATACCTATCCCTTCACATTTGTCATTTCTTGTGGTGAAATGATATTCCATTACATTTATGCACCACAATTTATTCAGCCATTCCCCAATTGAAGGGCACCCACTTTACTTACAATTCTTCGCTCCCAGAAAAAGTGCGGCAATGACTATTTTTATAGATAGACCTTTCTCTCTTTAACTTCCCTGGGGTCTAGCTAGAGTATGCCTGGGTCAGAGAATCTGTAAGATTTAGTGACTTTTTTAGTACAGTCCCAGATTGCTTTCCAGAATGGTGGCACCAGTTCATAACTCCGCTGACTCTGCATTAGTGCCTTAGACTGGAACCTCTTCAGAACTGGATTATAGCCACGAGTGATGGCACATACATGTATAATCCACGTGGATTGCTTGACCTCAGGAGTTCTGAACTGCCCTAGAGCTAAAGCTGATTGGATATCTGCCTTAAGTCTGTCACCCACATGGTGAGCCTCTGAGGGGAGATGTGGGTGGGGAAGAGGGCACTGGGCTGCCTGAGAAAGGCAAACTGGCCCAGGTTGGAAGCAGAACACGTCAAAGCACAGTGCCTAACACAAAGTCGGTACTTAATTAATGTTTATTCATTGACTGACATCTGAAGCCTCTAAGACAGGGATGGGGAATCCCCTTAATAAATGGATTTGTTCTGTAAAACTTGGACTGGGTCAAAAGACCACACCCAAGGACCTAGAGGGCCATATGTGGCCTTGAGGCCCTAGGCTCTCTAAGATAACGTAAAAAAAGTTTCCAAGAGAAGGAATTAGCTAACCAATTTTCTTTCTCCTTCAAAAACTAGACAATGAAGCTACTCCTATTCCCAAACTCCTTGTATACCACAAGAGCAGTCACCCACATAGCCATCAGACGACGTTAGTCAAAGCTACCCCTTCCAATAGATTGGAAGAGGGAAACCCTCTTTAGCCTTAGATACTGGGACTATAGTCGGTCTGGGGGAGTTGGGAATCCTTTGAAAAGTTCTTGGAACCGAGAAAATTAAAAAAAAAAGTTGGGAAAAAAAAAAAACAGATGCCTTGAAGAGTTTTTCAAAGGATTTTTTTTTTTTTTTTTTTTTTACTTTTCCACCCACAACCTGCTCCTACTTCCTCGGCCTCAGCAACAATTTTGTGATGTCTGAAGACCTAAAGTTATAGGAGATTTCTGTTTTTCCTCCTACTGAGTAGTATCTTAGGGTTTCTCTCTCAACAGGGGCTTAGATCCTGGAATCTCTTCCTTTCTCAGCTGAATTCATCTTAAAAAATTGATTTGAGAGCACCCTTTATGCTGCTTTCCCCCAGATGCCAGAACTGCTAGTTATGCTGCTGGTCTGGTGGAAAGTACACTAGACTTATAATGAGAAGACCAGGGTTTAAGTCCTGGATTTGAAACTTATTTGCTATGTGATGTTGGGCAATTCAATTCAATAAACATTTATTAAGTAGGGCTGGTGATGAAAATAAGAAAGAAAATTTCTGCCCTCAAGTGGTTTACAATCTACTGGGAGAAGACACCAAATAAAAAAGCTAGGAAGTGGGGAGGGAGAAGGGGGCAAGTCACAACCTCCCTGGGCCCTGCCTTCTTTACCGATAAAGTGAGAAAGTTGGATTGGATGGCTTTTGAGGGCCCTTCCGTTCTAGATTTATGATGCTATAGCTCTAAACTGGTCTCTTTAACTCTCTGAACCTCAGTTTCCTGCTCTGTTGAATGACGAACTTACGGTCCTCAAGGCTGCTGTGAGTACAGCGCTCTAGAAATGGGCGTGGTTGTTATGGGGAGCCTCGCTGGCTTATGACAAAGTCTCCCACTGAAACGACGTTTGTTCCGTTCTGTTTTTCAGGGGGCAGCACAGGCACCTCCCCGACCACCTCCAGCACCGGAACCCCGTCCCCTTCGGCTTCTTCTCATCTCTTGTCTCCGTCCTGTTCTCCTCCCACCTTTCACCTGGCCCCCAACACTTTCAACGTGGGCTGCCGGGAGAGTCAGCTATGCAACCTAAACCTCTCTGATTATCCGCCGTGTGCCAGGAGCAACATGGCTGCCCTGCAGAGCTACCCGGGCCTGAGCGACGGCAGCTACAACCGTTTGCAGAGCGGCACGACCTCAGCCAGTCAGTCCTCAGAAACCTTCATGCCTCAGAGGACTCCCTCCCTGATCTCAGGAATCCCGACTCCTCCTTCGTTGCCCAGCAACGGCAAGATGGAAGCCTATGGGAGCCAGCTGGGCTCTTTTCCTGCCTCCCAATTTCAATACGTCATGCAGGCAGGCAACCCAGCGTCCAGTCCTTCGTCCCCACACGTGTTCGGTGGCAGCCACATGCAGCAGAGCTCCTACAACGCCTTCTCCCTTCACAACCCTTACAACCTCTATGGTTACAACTTCCCCACCTCCCCCAGGCTGGCTGCGAGCCCAGAGAAACTGACCACCTCCCAAAGCACTTTACTCTGTTCGTCTCCCTCCAATGGGGCCTTTGGTGAAAGGCAATATCTGCCCACAGGGATGGAACATGGCATGCATATGATCAGCCCCTCTTCGGCCAACCAGCAGACAGCCAACACCTGTGACAGCCGGCAGTATGGGTCTGTCCCTGGCTCTTCCTCCTCCCAGATGTCTGTGCATATGGTTTAATTGGGAACCTGACCTCTCATCACCAAAGACCCTCCGCTGTTTCCGTGAAGGCGTCCTCGTTGTCAGGAGCTCAAAGCCTTTGAACGAACAGTGGAACTGCATTTTTTTTTTTTCTTTTGAAGGGGGTGGGGTGGGAATCTTATAGAACACTTGAGATGGAACTTACATCTGACTGCCTGGCCCATGCTCACAATATCCAAAGACTTAGCCTTGTTATCCAGTGTCTAACCTTTAATCCTAAGTGGCCTTTGGAAAGATGGGACAATCGTTTTATATTAATATAAGAGAGAGGCTAGAGTGTAACAGCCAATGAAACATGCATATATATACATACCTAATACATACATATATACACATATATATACAAACACACATACAAACACACATACACACACACATACACTTAACACTCACTCTCAACTAGGGTGAGCTCTTCTTGAAGGGAGGCCCAGAGTGGGTACTTCACCAAGGACTGGTCTTTCTACAAAGCTACATGGTCTGGGAAGGCTACCCTTGACCCCTATCCCCCCAGGACCCTACCTGTTTCTGGAGTGAATCGGACCTCCTGAAACCACTTCCCATCGATGAGGGGTAGATGGACGTCAGAGCCACAATTGGACTTTACTTCCTGAAGGAAGGTGCTCTCCTGACTTTGGCTCCTTCCAGCTGATTAGCTATTGTCCTGAAAATTCAGTGGTGCAACTTATGTGATAGGAGAGAATGAAAGGAATGGAAAGAGAGAAAGAAAGAAAAAGAAAGAAAAAGAAAGAAAGAAAGAAAGAAAGAAAGAAAGAAAGAAAGAAAGAAAAAAGTGAAAAAGAGAAAGAGAATGAGGATGTGTGAACAGTGGTGAGAATTTAATTCACCAAGGAAACTGCTTTTTTTTCCCCTCCCAACAGGATACAAAAACCACGATTTTACTGAGGAAAAGACCTCTTTGGGATGCTCCAATTCCTACTTTATATACAAATACTCTTGGCCAGGGTGCCAGGTGGGAAAGGAGATGGGAGAAGGGCTGCATCTTAGCTCCACAGGTCCTGTCAGTGGTATTCTTCCAGAATCCACAGGTGCACCAACTTGTGGAAGTTTGACTCCCCAAAACATGCGTCTTACTTAGTATGGGAAGGGGCAAGAGAATGGGAATGGGAGTGTGAGAAGGGAGTTTGTTAATTTAGCCTGATCTTGTTGAAAATGAAGAGAGACCTGGTCAGCTATAAGTGAACCAAGGCAGCTGACCTGGATTTAGTGCCTTGCATGCCAGAGTGGCCATAGAAAATTTGTAAAGTTTCACAGAAATTCAGAGCGCAGAATTTCAGAGAAACTCATCTTGCCTCTTCCCTTAGAGCACAGTTTTAAACAAATAGATGGTTGCATTTTGAAGTTTCTTTAATTTCTTCCCTCTACTCCTCCCTCCCTATAGCCTTTAACAATTAAAAAAAATTGCAGCTTGGTATAAGCTAAGCATTTAAGTGGTGTGGAACTGCAATTATCCCAAGTAAAAGAATACAGATATTATTAAGATTTTGGTTTTGAGGTGTTGTAGATAAATGTATTTATGTGCCTAGTGGGGAATTCAATATTATGAATATTAAAAAGGGGCAATAAAAAGGGTATGTAAAATATGTATGAAGAAAAAGGTGTATAAAAATTTGCCCTATGCACGGAATTCTGTTTCTAAGTGCCAAGCACAAAATGCCGCTAAATAAATCTTTGCAATTGTTTCTCGTGTGTCTATTGATTTGAGAAGACCATCTCCTCCCCAAGCACATATCCCAGGAGACAAGGATGTCAAACCCAGACAATTATTTATGTTGATATTGTTCTATGGTCAGGAGTATAGGAGATCTTGCTTTAGGCACAAAGGTTAAAAGAAGAAGTTTTGGAGAGTGGAGGGAGACAGTGTGGTATGGTAGACATAGAACTTTCAGTAACTGGTGTGATGGTGTATTTTTTTCTTGACGGGGGGATAGCTTCAACAACTAATCTCTTAAAGGACAGTTGAGATGGAGCTCATAGCTGACTTTATGTTTACACCATACAATGACTTAGCCTTCTTATCCAGTGTTTAATCTTATGTGGTCTTTGGAAGGCTGCTTTCCAATAACCAGGAAGAGCTGAGTTCAAGTCTCACCCCCGAAACCTACTAGCTGTGTGACCCTGGGAAAGTTACTTAACTGCTAATGTTCTAGGCAATTCTCCGAGACCCTAAGTTGCAGAAGAGGTGCCAACTTGAGTCGGTAGAGGAAGTTTCCTTACCCAGGAGTTACCTGTGGCAAAGCTACCACAGTCTACTCCCTATCCCTTGGAGGGGGCAGAATGGAAAATGCAGCTATACTTCTAGCAATCCAACATAGGAGCTGAAGCAGCTTTCCAAATAAGTTTTCCAACTGAACCTGTCCATTGTGTTAATCTGGCACACTAAGTGATCAGAACTTAAGGTCAAGTCATGGGGTACAGGAAAAAAGACTAATATGAGAGATTTGTAATTATAGGTTTATTGGAAGGATGCATAAAACTTCAGGTCCTGAATTAGTAGACCAAATGGTCATGTTATCACCCTACACCTCAAATTCTTGATTATGGGAGATTACTGGATTACTGGAGACTTTATGGTTAACAATTTAGTTGGGAATTCTGGCAGCATTTGGGATGACTACCACAAGAGCAGATGCTATCTGGAGGAGGTTTTGTTTTTTTTTTTTACTTCAAAGGAAGGCTAAATGGAAAATTATAAGTAGTTCCCTGAAGCTATTCCTGTGCAATGCAATTCAAGGAGAAGCATGAGATTAGGAGAAAAACTTGTGACGTGAGGGATATGTCATCTCCGGAAGAGGACTATGGAAGTCAAGAGAGGATAATTCCTAGTCAACTGAAACGAAATCAGAAAAGTGAAACTCAAGGTGGTAATATATGACAATTAACACTTAATTAAGTTATCCCAATAATATCACTACTGTTTTTCACACCCATCACCATTTTATTTACTTTTATGATTCTATCACCACCTAAGACAATAATTCATTAGATTCGTGTGAGCTGCAGAAGCCTGAAGAAATCCAATATCCATTGAAGTTGGGATTTGAATCCTAGTTTCCTAACTCCAATAGCCATGGAAGTTAATAATATTAATATTAAAAATAATAATAGCTAGCATTTAAATAGCACTTTAAGTTTTGTGAAATACTTTACAAATATCATCTCATTTGATCCTCACAAGAACCCTGGGAAGTAGGTGCTATTATCATCCCCATTTTACAGATGAGGAAACCAAGGCAAACAAATAAATTCTATGAAGAATCCCCACCCCCAAATCAAATCAACATGCATTCCACCTTAGTTAAAAAACATTTTACTTGCTTAACAGAGAGACGTGGCTGCCAAAGGCAATGTTGGATTAAAATATAAACTCATCTGTAAAATCTTTCCAAAAAATGAAAAATTATGAGCAATGCTATCTAATAAAGATAAGAGAAATAGTGGAAGGTAAAAATAATCTAAAGAAAGCTTTAGCAAAGCAAGTAAGCAAAGGCATTCCAAGGGAATTCAGGAGTGACAAGAGAAAGAGGACAGCAAACAGAAGAAAAATGGAAAAGATTTAAAAAAATGATTACAGCAAACTGTTTTCTCCATCAAGTACAAGTATAAGAAAGTAGAAATGGCACTAAAGGGAACAGAGATGAGAAAAACGGGCAGATAGAATCAAGCATATATAGAGGAGATTCAAGTCAAGGGTGAAATTGTGAGGATATTGAGGGATGGATTTATCATGAATCTAAATAAGGGGATAATTCCAAACATATGGGAAAAAACTCAGATCTTGTTTATTTAAAAAAAAACAATTACTAAGAAAATGTCAACTATGGACTTATATTCCTATTATCCCATCTATCCAAAATCTTTACAAGGGTTCATCTCTACATAAATTAAGGATATTCTTTAATGAGAGTATTAGCAGGGACTGAGAAGGCTTTTGTAATCTGTATTTGTCAGTAGACCACATCTTTACCTTCTCCCAATTCACTTAAAGATATACAGGATATGAGGTCCTATTGTACCTATTTTTGTTTGTCAATTTTAAAAAATGATTTTTGGTCAAACAAGATGCTGCCTTGCTGTTTCTTTTACAACAAGCTTTCTCCCACCCATCCATCAAGGCCATTCAAGGTTCCTTGAAACATGTAACAACAGAAATAATCCTGTTCAGTGACCCTCTGATAACAAACATTGGGTAAGACATAAAATAGGGAAATACATACTCAGCAAGAGTATTTACCTTTGTGATGAAGATGTTTTAGTGCAGAGCCCAGGTCAATGATGGATTCCTTGTAGATGGTGAGCATCCTCCAGCTGTCCCTGTTCTGGGTTGACATTGTTTGGATTTAATCTGGTTCCAAGAGGTTATGTATCCTAGAAGAAATCTGTAATCACTCAAAGGGGCTTGGCTTATTCATCTTTACAGAAAAGACTAAATGGATTAAAAATATCCACTGCCCAACTTTCAATGTACATCTGAATGAACCTCCTATATCTCTTGTCCAACAGCATGTATATCTGTGACAGGCAATATAGATGGACAATGAACTGGGTCCAGAGTTATATAGGAAGAGCAGAGTGGACTGATCGCTTTTGGGAAATTACAAAGTACTTTTTCCGACTTAAGCTTCCTAGAATAGCAAAGACCCATTTTCCCCCAATACAAATATTTTACCTGTGTTGCTGTATGGCAGTGATATCTGGAACACCACTGCCTCTTAAGAACTAAGGATGATCTTCACATTGACAATCCTGAAGAGGTTCATGGTAGTTGTAAAGTAGTCACAACATAAAACCAATGTAGACTACCAACAAAGAACAAGAGTAAAGGATGTCATCAAAGTACTCTAAGACAAAATGGTTATGGGATGAGTATGAAGGATGACTGGTGGATGGTCAGAAGGCCTCCAACACAGGGCAGACCCCAGTGGTAAACTTTTGGGAGGACATAGATGAGAGTCACACAGGATAGTTAGGTATGGTAATTGGAAGGAACTCCTATGAGATAGCAACTGTATTTGAACAACCAGTCAACATTTTTTTAAGCACCTACTATGTGCCAGTGCTAAGTATTGTGTGTATGACAAGAGACCAAAGACAGTTCTTGTCCTCAAGAAGAGCAATCCAATGGAAGAGACAACATGCAAACAAATGTATGGAAAGCATATATTATATAGAATATATGCATATATCACATATAGAATAATTAGCAGAGAGAAGGCACTGGAATTAAGAGGGGTTAGGAAAGCCTTCCTGTAAAAGATGGGATTTTAATTGGCATTTATTCGAATAAACCCGTTAGCACAAACGAGACTAACCAAAGGTTGAAAGTAGACAATGTGGTGGAAAGACTGCTAGATCTGGAATATGTCTATCTTTCTCTCTGGGTTCTGTTCCTGACTCTCTAGATTTGTTTCTCCACGATGGTTTTCACAGTCTTCTCAACCTGAAAGATCATTCCACCTTTCTGGCCCCTTCCTCCAACTCGTCTGTTCTTCCTGGAACCTACATTTTGAGGAAAGCTCCCAGGCCATCCACAGCCACTTCTTTATTCCCCTCTCAGCTCTACTCTTGATTCTTTGGACTTCTTTTTCTATCATGCCTCCAAGGGAACCTTCTTCTCTCCTTCCTCCTTCCTTCCCCCCTCCCCCTATTCCTGCTTTTATGTGTTACCTTATTTCACTAGAATGTCATCTCCTTGA